GAAAAAGTATAAAATCAAAATTTTGGAAAATCTAAAAATTGGAGATCAAGAACCTGAAAAATTGATGAAACGAAAAATCGAAAAATCGAAAGATTCAAAATTGAGAAATTTAAAAATCGAAGTAGTAAATTTTGTAAAATTCGGAGAACAGGATAATTGAGAAATCTAAAAATTGCAAAATTGAAAAATTGAAAAATTGGAAAATCAAAGACTGAAAACTGAATAAACAAAAAATTACAAAAACCGAAAGATACCTTGAAAAACAAAGGAAATGAAAAACGAAGAAGTGTGTATAAAATTTACGATTTTAGAATTTTCCAGTTTTTCAATTATTTGATTTTAAATTATTTCATGTGTCCGATTTTTAATTTTTCAATTTTTGGATCTTGCAATCTACAGTTTGTCGACTTTACAATTTTGACGATTCTATAATTTTTCGATTAATTTCGTTCTTTCTTTCCAATTTTTCGCTCCTTATTTTTTTTTTGGATTTTTAATCTTCTCAGTTTTTAGTTCTTCAATGTTTCAATTTTTCGTTTCTTCAGTTCTTCGATTTTTAAATTTTCCGCTTTTTTAATTTCTCGACTTCAAATTTTTCCGATTTTTTTAGTTTTTCGATTATCAGTTTTTCGATTTTTTAATTTTTAGAATCAAAATAAAAAAAATGCAAAATTGTAAAATTGAAAAATCTACAACGAAAAAACAGAATAAAATGGAAATTTTTAAAAATCTAAAAATTGGAAATCAAGAACCTGAAAAATTGAAGAAAGGAAAAATTGAAAACTAGAAAGATTTTAAAAGTTTTACGACTTTACAATGTTGACAATTCTATTATTTTTCATTTTTACAATTTTTGGGTTTTAAAATTTTTCGATTCAATTCGGTTTTTCTTTCCAATTGTTTTCGATTTTAAAGTTTTTTGATTTTTAGTTTTTCAATGTTTCAATTTTTCGTTTATTAGGTTCATCGATTTTCAAATTTTTCGATTTTTTAACATTAGGAATCAAAAGAAAGAAAAATTGAAAAAATCAACAATGAAAAAACGAAAAAGTATAAAATCAAAATTTTGAAAAATATAAAAATTGGAAATCTAAAACCTGAAAAATTGATGAAACGAAAATTTGAACAATCGAAAGATTCAAAATTGAGAAATTTAAAAATCGAAAAAGTAAATTTTGTAAAATCCGGAAAACAGGATAATTGAGAAATCTCAAAACTGCAAAATTGAAAAATTTACAAATCGGAAAATCAAAGACTTTTGAAAACTGAACATACAAAAAATTACAAAATCGAAAGATTTTTTTGATGTTTTCAAAGGAAATGAAAAACGAAAAAGTATGTATAAAATTTACGATTTTAGAATTTTCCAGTTTTTCAATTATTTGATTTTAAATTATTTCCTGTATCCGATTTTAGAATTTTTCAATTTTTCAATTATTGGATTTTAAAATATTTCATATATGTATTCGATTTTTAAAATTTGTATTTCTCAATACACGTTTAATTTTTCAATTTTCGATCTTGCAATGCACAGTTTTCCGACTTTACAATTTTGACGATTCTATAATTTTTCGGTTTTACAACTGTTCGATTTAATTCGTTTTTTCCAATTTTGCGACTCCTTTTTTTTTCGATTTTTAAGTTTATCGGTTTTTAGTTCTTCAATGTTTCAATTTTTCGATTTTTAGTTTTTCAATTTTTAAATTTTTCGTTTCTTAGGTTCTTCAATTTTCAATTTTTCGATTTTTCAACATTTGGAATAAAAAAAAAAGAAAAATTGCAAAATTGTAAAAAACTGAAAAATCGAGAATGAAAAAAGAAAAACTAAAACATGAAAATTTTGAAAAATAAAAAACTGGAAATCAAGAATCTGAACAATTGAAGAAACAGAAAATTATAAAATCGAAAAAGATTAAAAATCGAAAAAGCAAATTTTGTAAATTCGAAATATTGAAAATTAAAGAAATCGTAAAACAGGATAATTGAGAACTCTAAAAATAAAATTGAAAAATTAAAAAAATGGAAATTGGTTTTTTCTTTCCAATTTTTCTTTCTATTCGTCAATTTTTTCGATTTTTACGTTTTTGATTTTTAGTTTCACAATGTTTCAATTTTTCGTGTCTTCACTTTGTCGATTTGCAATTTTTCGATTTTCTACTTTTTCGATTTTGCAGTTTCTCGTGTTTTCAGATTTTTAATGTTTGAACTTTTTCAGTATCTCGATTTTTCAAAATTTGGAATCAAACAAAAGAAAAATTGCAAAATTGTAAAACTTAAAAATCAACAATGAAAAAACGAAAAAGTATAAAATGAAAATTTAAAAACATTAAAAAATTAGAAATCAGAAACCTGAAATATTTAAGAAACGAAAAATTGAAAAATCGAAAAAACATTGCAAAATAAAGGAAATGAGAAAACGAAAAATTATGAAATAAAATTTACGATTTTAGAATTTTTCAATTTTTCAATGACTTATTGGATTTTAAACTATTTCATATATTCGATTTTTAATCTTACGATTTTTAAACTTTGAATTTTTCAGTACATACTTAATTTTTCAATTTTTGGATCTTGCAATGTATAGTTTTTTGACTTTACAATTTTGACGATTCTATAATTTTTCGATTTTACCATTTTTGGCTTTTCCAATTTTTCGATTCGTTAATTTTTAGATTTTTAATGTTTCAATTTTTCGTTTCTTCGGTTCTTCGATTTACAATTTTTTAATTTTCCACTTTTTCGATTTTGCAATTTCTCATTTTTTCAGTCAATTGATTTTTCAAGTTCTTCCGATTTTAGTTTTCCGATTTTTCAACATCTGGAATAAAAAAAATTGCAAAATTGTAAAATTAAAAAATCAACAATGAAAACACGAAAAAGTATAAAATGAAAACTTTAAAAATCTAAAAACTAGAAATCAAGAACCTGAAAAAAGTGCAAAAGCGAAAAAACGAAATGTTGAAGAAATCGGAAAATCGGATAGTTGAGAAATCCATAAATTGCAAAATTGAAAAATATTAAAATTGGAAAATCGAGGAATTGGAAAATCAAAGATTGAAAATTTGAAAAATTGAATAAACGTAAATATATAAAATCAAAAGAAACGTTGAATAAAGGAAATGAAACAACGAAACTTGTAATATAAAACTGAGAAAATAACATCCAAAAAAATCGGGAAAATGAAAATTAGAAATCAAGAACTTGAAAAACTGGAAAATTGAAGAATGGAAATATTGAAAAATTATATAATTGAAGCATTGAAAAGCGGGAAAAACTGAAAAAAATAGAAAACGAACAAACAAAAAATTGTGATATCAAAAAATTGATCGAAGGTAAATAAATCCAGATTTTTCGAAAAATGATAAGGGAAATATTTTACATGCTTCAGAGAAGATTTAATAATGTTGGACAATTTTGATGTTTTTCAATAAACCTGTATGTATGAGGTAAAACTCAACACGGATTCATAAACCACATGTGAAGGATTATCTTGTTTTATGAAATTGACATAATATTTAGTAATGTAAATTTTGTCATCCCATTGTTGGTGGAAATGTTTATCCAAATAGGTTAGCGTTTTACCATATACATATATATTTCTAAAATACCTACTTATAAAATTTGAAAACAATAATCGCTTCCGTAGTTTCGGAGATTATCCGTCTAATAAAAATTTAGACAGATGATAAACAGACAGACAGACATACATAAAACAAACATAAAAGGAGCCAGTCTAGTGGACTCAATTACAATACTTCCTTAGCTTACGAAAAAACAATACCTATCGACTACATTGTAGGACAAGCATGACAAAATGGGAAACAGTAAATCTGTAACAATATATTTATTCTCTTCAATTCTGATTGTGCCAGTAGCGAGTGGGAGTTTCACCTTCCATGTGCGCGTAAACTGGAAGTAATCTTATTATACCGAAATACACTACGAACCCACATTTAAATTATCATAATGCACTTTTTTATTTATGTAAACATATAATTTTTACGTCACTTTAGTACGTAACGTTTGAGATACGAGCTGATAGCCCGCCCATCTATATAACTGTTATGAAACCAACTTTTTCCAATTAAAAATGAACCCATTTAATAATTTCTTCGTGTGTCTAAGAGGATAATTTTATCTAATATCAATCAAAAATAAATGTCTAATTTATTATTATTATTATTATTATTAAAAGATAAAGGATAAAGGGCCCTGTTATTTCTGCAACAAATATTTGATAATCGCAGTGTACTTCTTTTCTTTGCCAAGAGTACACCGCAAGAAAACAAAAAATAGGCGGAACTAAAAAATTCTTATCAGATTAAATAAATGAAATCTAGCCCAAGAGATAAAGTTGTATTCAAGCTATAGATATGTTTTTTTAATTTGCTGTCAAGGTCCCTTTTAATGTATTATCTCTTAACAAATCACAGCTGATCCAGTTTATCTAAACTTAATCAAGAAAGTGTTAACCTTTGTGTTTGTTTGTCCGGAGGCTATAGAAAGTTAAAACCGTACCATACGAACGAGTTATGTGCCACTGATTTGGCCATAAACGTATTATTAATGAAGATTTTAAAGTTATTAGGACAGTGGCGGAGGTGGTAAAAAAGTTTTTTTTTGGCTTGAAGTTTTTTGATTTAGGTTTTTGGCGAAATTTTATATCACTTAATCTTCCGAGTATTAAGTGTTCCAGTGACCTTTGCAAACCAATACGGAAAGTACGGTAGTTTATTTTTAATTGTACTTATGTGATCCTTGTACTCCTCGTTTCTACAATTATCTTTGTTCGTTATATGTTAAATAGACCGATTAAAAAATTGTGATGGCAGTGCTCCACATAAACAACTAATAAACATGGTGATTCAATAAAAATAATAACGAACTACAAAAGGGGCAATTATAAGCCCCATTTTCAACTATTGGAACATTTTTTATCTACTAGAAATATGGGATTAGTTAGAGTAAAAACACTACTAAAAATTATTAAAGCAACTTACCTTTATAACAGGGTATCCCAAAATTTTTACAAGAAATATCTTGTTGAATGTTGATCTGAAACAAAAAGTGTGGTTAGGTCAGTGTTAAAAAATATATTGATTTGTTAATTACAAGTAGATACCGATAGTTACATATAGTCAGTTCTAATTCAAAATAGTTTCGATGTGTTAATTTTCTCAAAATATAGAAAGTCAACACAGAACTTCCTAAAACCGATGGCGATTCTACTACACTTTGAAAAAATAATTCTTTTTTTACATTGGTACAAATACATTATTCTAAGAAACCATAAACTCAGAATAGGAAGCGAAGATATCCAACGGTTATAATTTACATGATCCAAAAATCGCTAGGCGTCTGGCCGTTAACCCCTACACCTTTAAAATTCCTTAGATAGGGATCAGTTTGGTGTGATATATAATTGATAATTTTAATTTTGATGTTTTTAAGATTAGGAGGATGACGCTTTCACATTTTCTGTGTAATAAAAATCGACACAGGCAAACGGAAACAGAAGACCCACTTTTTCACAGTATAGGGATCATGCAACGTCGAGAAATACTTCCGCGGCTTACACTCGGGAAGTAAAAAGGAAGTTGAATGCGAAGAATGCAAAGAGTTAAGTAAAGAAGTAAAACTACTTGTGAAAGCCCGGAAAACAGAAACCATGGCAAGAATCTGGGAACAAAATGAAACACACAAAGAAAAACATAAAGGATAAGAATGGAAAGATCTCAACACAAGAAAAAGTAATAACCATGGTTGATAAAAAAATTGGTCTAAGATTGCTTGGATAGAACTTCCCTCGCTTCTTCTTTGACAATTTATAAAATTTGATTTTGCAATTTTTATTTTGTGATAACCTGTAGGTATAATGTGCGGACAAAATGAAATATATTTAAAGTAGATAACCAACGAAAAAAATATATTCTCAGGAGAATCATTCGGTCCAGTAGTTTCGGAGATTACGGCAGACGGCAGACAGACAGATAGACAGACAGACGGAAATGGTAGATCTGTTGTTGCGTCTTTAGCTTACGTTCGCAAAATAAACAGAAGGCAATTGTATAGACGAAAGGAGGAAAAACGGCTGAAAATTTGATAGAATCTCTGAAAAAGTATTCGATGATATAAGAAGAAAAGACCTATGAGAAAGCCTGGATAAAGAGGAATAAACCAAAAGCAGTTCACAAAACAAATCGAGCATTATATAACCATTTATATTTGTTAACTGTACAGATCTATAGACTACAACAGTCTCAATCTGTATTTATATTGTAATTTGAAGAAGAAAAGTGGAGGATTTAAGCTGATTACTACAAAAATTTAACATTTTAGACATGTTTCAAGTTTCTTGTTGTCAAAATAAGTCTACACATACTAAGAAAAAAAAGGCAAAATGGAGCCCCGCCCACCCGCCCTATCTCATTTGTGATGATTTTTTTTATTCGTTGGGAGCCAACTGCAAAATCCTTATTTATCTACGAGAAATTAAAAACATGTTTTGAGTATCATGCTGTACAAAAATACTATGTATATTAAGAAAAAAATTAAGCCAAAGATTAGGCCCCACCTATACCCGCCCCGATCTCAATTCTCAATTGTCATGAATTTTTCACTCGTTGTCAGATCGAGGGGCGGGGCTTAATTACAAGATCCATATTTGTCTACAAGAGTTTACCATTTTAAACATGTTTTAAGTTCCTTGTTCTGAAAAAACGACTATGTATGTCAAGAACAAAGGCAAAATATATGTCCCGCCCATCGACCCTATCTCAACCGGCAAGAATTTTTATTCGTTGTCTGACCGTGGGGCGGAGCGTAATTGCAAAATCGATATTTCTCTATACAAATTTTCCATTTTAAACATGTTTTATGTTTCTTGTTGGAACAGATGATTACACATATTAAGAAAAAAAGGCACAACATAAGCCCCGCCCACCCACCCTATCTCAATTGTGATGTTTTTTTTTTAACCATCGACAGCCAAAGGAGCGGAAATTGCAAAATTTTTATTATTTCTCTTGAAGAAATTACCATGTAAGACATTTTTTGAGTATCGTGTTATTCACAGAATACTGTGTACATTAAGAAAGTCGAATAACCGAAAAGTCGAAAAATGGAAAATTTTAAAAATCAAAATCCTGAGAAATCGAAAAATTGGAAAACTGAGGACACGAAAAATCGACAAATAAAAACATCGATAATTCGAATTTAGTAACAACAAAATTTGTAAATGTGGAAAACAGAAAATTTTTGAATGATCGAAAAATTGGGAATTGAAAAACTGAAGATTCAAAAAATTGAAATAAATTGAAAAATCGAAAAATGGAAACACCTTAGTCGAAAAGGGAAAACAAAAAAAAAAACGATTAATCCAGAAATCGTGAATTCGAAAAATCAACATTGAAAATTTAGAAAAACCGAAAATTGAAAAAAAAAAAAAAAAAATGAAAAAATTTAAAAATCGAAAAATGGGGGAACTAAACTAAAATATGGGAAAATCATCGGGAAATCTAAAAATTAAAAGGTCGAGAAACGGAAAATTAGAAATGTCCAGAAAGTAAACAATCGAAAAATCTCAAAATTAAATTATCGAAAAATTGAAAATCTAAAAACGGAAGAATAAAAAAACTGAAAAATTCCAAAACTAAAATATCGAAAAATTGAGGAATCAAAACTCGAAAAATTGACAAATCAAAAAGTGTAAAAATCAAAAAATCGAAAAGACGAAAAATCAAATAATCACGGAATCAAGAATTCGAAAAATCGACAAATCGATAGAAAACACTAAAAATCGAAAATTTAAAACATCAAAAATTCGAAAAATCAAAAACATGAAAAATTGAAAAATGGAAACTGAAGCAGCGAAAAACTGCAAAATCAAATTAATTACATTTCGCCTTTTTGTTTTAATATGTGTAGACATATTTTCGCAATATGAAACTTAAAACATGTTTTAAATAGAAAATTTGTATAAGGAAATATCGGTTTTGCAATTAGGCTCCGCGCCATAATTGGAAAAACATATGTCCTTGCAAAAACCATTTTAACCATGTTTTAAGTTTCTTGTTATATATAAAAAGATGGCAATGCATATGAAGAAAAAAAAGGCAAAATATAACCCCCGCCCACCCGCCCTCTCTCAATCCTGATGATTTTTTTTATTCGTCGTAAGCCGAGGGGCGGAGCTTAACTGTAAAAGTCTTATTTTTCTACGAGAAATTACCATGTGAAATAATTAAGTAATCATGTTACACAGAGAAAACTAATTGTATTAATTAAAAGTGGAAACCAAAACAGAAGCCCCACCCATCCGTCTCGATCTCCACCCGCATGAATTTTATTCGTTGTCAGACCGTGGGGCGGAGCGTAATTGCAAAATCGATATTTCTCTATATAAATTTACCATTTTAAACATGTTTTATGTTTCTTGTTGGAACAGATGACTACACATATTAGGAAAAAAAGGCAAAATATAAGCCCCGCCCACCCACCCTACTCAATTGTGATGATTTTTTTTAACCATCGACAGCCAAAGGAGCGGGAATTGCAAAATTCTTAATATTTCTCTTGAAGAAATTACCATGTAAGACATCTTTTGAGTATCGTGTTATTCACAGAATACTATGTATATTAAGAAAGTCGAATAACTGAAAAGTCGAAAAATGGAAAATTTTAAAAATCAAAATCCTGAGAAATCGAAAAGTTGAAAAACTGAAGAAACGAAAAATCGACAAATAAAAACATCGATAATTCGAATTTAGTAACACCAAAATTTGTAAATGTGGAAAACAGACAACTTTTAAATGATCGAAAAATTGGGAATTGAAAAACTGAAGATTCAAAAAATTTAAATAAATTGAAAAATCGAAAAATGGAAACACCTAAGTCGAAAAGGGAAAACGAAAAAAAAACGACTAAACCAGAAATCGTGAATTCGAAAAAACAAGATTGAAAATTTAGAAAAACCGAAAATTGAAAATTCGAAAAATGAAAAAATTTAAAAATCGAAAAATGGGGAAATTAAACTAAAAGATGGGAACATCATCGGGAAATCTAAAAATAAAAAGGTCGAGAAATGGAAAATTAAAAATATCAAGAAAGTGAAAAAGCGAAAAATCTCAAAACTAAAATATCGAAAAACTGAAAATCTAAAAACGGAAGAATAAATAACTGAAAAATTCCAAAACTAAACTATCGAAAAATTGAGGAATCAAAACTCGAAAGGTTGACAAATCGAAAAGTGTAAAAATCGAAAATTTCAAAAATGAAAAATATGAAAAATCAAAAACCTTGAAAATCAAAAAATGGAAAAGTCGAAAAATCAAATAATCACGGAATCGACAAATCGATAGAAAACACCAAAAATCGAAAATTTAAAACATCAAAAGATTGAAAAATCAAAAACATGAAAAATTGAAAAATGAAACTGAAGCAGCGAAAAACTGAAAAATCGAATTAATTACATTTTCCCTTTTTGTTTTAATACGTGTAGACATATTTTCACAACATGAAACTTAACACACGTTTAAAATGTAAAATTCGTTAAGGAAATATCGATTTTGGAATTAGGCTCCGCGCCATAATTGCAAAAACATATTTCCTTGCAAAAACCATTTTAACCATGTTTTAAGTTTCTTGTTCTAAAAAGATGGCTATGTATATGAAGAAAAAAAAGGCTAAATATTACTCCCGCCCACCCGCCCCACCTCTATTCTGATGTTTTTTTTTACTTGTCGTAAGCCGAGGGGCGGAGCTTAATTGTAAAGCGAATAGCAACGTCAGCGGCAAATTTATAAATCGACCTTTAGGTTGAACAACACTAAATGTTACGAGAATATCATTCACTGCTCTGTAACGATGATCTAGATCTTCGTAAAATCTATCAAGACATTATTTTTACTTCTCAAGCGTAAGCGAAGGAAGTATTGGAATCAAGTCCGGCGGCGTACTCTCTACTTTTACATTTTCTCGACCTTTCATGAACCCTAGAGTACGAAGAAATAGGTCTCCTGTTTCCGTCTGTCCGTCTGTCTGTCTCTCCGTCTGTC